CAACATAGCTGAAAACAGGACTTGTTTCCTAGCAACTCTGATCTCCTTCCACTGTGAGAGACAGCAAAACTTTTCCTTCACTCTAAACCTGCTTTTAATCCCACTGAGTCAATAGATAAACACGACTTGAATGGAGGAAATTGGTTACAGGCTCCTTACTAGTTTCCCCTATCATTAACCCATGTCTGTGAATGCAGGAATGATTGGGTGGTTGTTCTTGGTGGCAGAAACTAGGAAAGAGAAGCATAAGTCTTTATCATAGGAAGCACAGTCTCTTGCATGGGTTTAATCTCACCTGGTAGACTGTTTATCTACATTGCAGAGATACCGAAGAGTCTGACTCCAGGCCAAAATCCTATGCATGATCTCTTATATCTGACAATAGGAAATTGCAAAGTCTTTGCCTAGTAGGCTCCATGTGGGAAAGCTGTCCCCTCCACATCAGACTTGGTGCACAGCCAATGCCTTGCAGTTTCTGAAGGGAGCTGCAGTTGAGGACTCCCCTTCCCCCAAGCAGCCATGCTCATACGCATATCTGCATTCCTAGCCTAGGCACCTCCTTTTGGAGACCTCCTTATTGGGGGCTTCAACTGAGATGCTTTTTGGTCACCTCTGCTGGGACCTTCACTTTTTTGGGTAGAAGGGTGGTTTGTCTTGTCTAAAACATTCTTCTCTACCTTGACTTAGTACTTTTCCATTCCTAGCCCTTCTCTCTCTTTCCTCCCTGACACTCCAGTCCATAAAACTGCAGGAGACTTTTTTTTCAGTGCTTCTTTGTAGTGAGACACAATTTTCCCCACATGTACTAGCTGTCACCTGACCCTTGCCCAGTGCTGTTCCACAGAGAAAATGGAACTGTGAGGAACCAGAACTACTTTCCTTTTTGGCCTTTTGTACTACCACTACAAGGGGATTAAAGTCTTGACTGTTACTTTCAGTTTGGCTTGTTGTCCTACTTGACCACCTTAACACCCGGCAGCTCTCCACGGATAGTGTAGAGAAAGACAAGAGTCATGCATGAAAAAATAAAAACAAAAACCAAAACCCAGAGTATCCATTCTTTGTTGTTCTAGGTTATGGGTCTTTTTTGCTGAGTAAAAATAATTTCTCTTGTCAAAATTTGTGACAGAAACCTTACCCTAGACAGGAATTAGGAGGGCCTGTAGGAGGAGTTCTCTGGTGGTACAGTTGGTTAGCATGAGGTACTTACCCAACAGTGTACATGCAGATAACCCCATGGTTATGGGTTTGAGCCTTACCAGGTGGTTTGCATATGGCTCACCATGTCTGCAAGTACCATCCGTAATCCCCTTTTTTAATGTCTGACGCTCTGTATTGTTCACAATAACTCACCATGGGTTTGCATTGTATGTATAAGTTGTGGATCTGTTGGTAATCAAGAGTTTATATTTGCATAACCTTGCATACATTTTTAAATGGAACTTTTTGGGATTGTAGGTTACTGGTGGAACACAAGTATCAAGTATTAAATTTTTTCCTCCCAGGTGACATTTCCTTCCATTTCATAAGGAGATTATATTAGCACAATAGAGCCAGGAATTTCATCTTTGGATATTAGGGTATGTTTCCAAGATATATGCTCTCCCGTAAACATAGGTTCAGAAATTTTCCTGGTCCGGCCCCTGTAGACACTTAAATATCTGAAAGAGAACACTATAACATTAAATTTTCAATTCTGGTTATGAAATCAAAATGGAAGAAAACACCTAGGCTTTGCAAAGAGCTCAGGATACAGAAAGCTATAGTGAATCCTACAGGATGAAACAGCTGGGCCTTCCAAGTTTACTTGAGAGTTGTCACATGGGTGAAGTCAAAATCAAGATTGTCATCAGAATTTGAGGCACTAATGCTGGCACTTGTAGAAACCCCAGGAGCCTCAAGAAACCTACAATCAGGAAATGCTTACACAGGGCACAGGGCTTTCTTTCATTCTCCGGCTATTAAGGCACAAGGACTAGAAAGGTCAACTCTTTGGATATCTGGAGATCAGAGGATGATGCCTTCTGAGTTACCACCCTTCTCATTCCATTTACCTCTGAATTTGAAGTAAATAATGGAAATAATCATGGTGATGAAGGTCACCAGAACACACAGGATCACAGTCATATCTTCCAACCACATCATGTCCAATTGGAAAAGTGGATCTGAAGGAGGGACTGGAGAGAGATGCAAAAATTAGGAGGGTCACAGCAGGGAAAGGAGGGCTGATTATAGATTTATAATAGATTTACTTTTCAAATTCCTATTTATCCATACTTATGGGCTTAGGTGAGGGTGGGAGAAAGTAGGCTGGGTTATGTGGATGAGCCTAGAGATGAGTATGTTTGGGCTAAGTCTGGATGAGGTCTGTGAAGAAGCAGATACACGTTCTTTCACTCAAACAACATGACACTTGCTTTCTGGTTGGTCAGAGTTTAAAAAATAAATAGACACATTATACCTTTATTGTCTTTATCTGGTGCTGCAGGCCCTCGAGAATTCTAAGCTATTTGAGGGGTATGGTGAAACAAAATGTTCTAGGATGAGCAGACTCTCTGAGATGGAAGAGATCTTACAATTCTCAAAAGTCATCCTGTAATCTGGAGCTAAAGTCTTCTTTAAAGTACCTTTTTTTGGGGTGATTCTGAAGTGGAAAACATCCTTATCTCAAAATATTGGTTAATATGTTGAGTGATGGGAGCACTGTTGCCAACAGTTAGGGTCTGTTTTATTACTGGACAGCTACGCCTATTGGAAATTACTTTCCTTTATCAACTGTAGTTTGCCTCATGACAGGGACTGTTCATTGATTCATACTGAAGGGGTTCAGAACAGGCCTCCCCTAGATGTGCTTCTTTGATTATTTGAGCTGAAGGCAATCCAAACCTTGTGAGCTCAAGAGAAATTTTTACCTCTCCTATAAAGATTTTAATTTGAGGTCTTGCCGATTATAAGAGCTATTACAAGAAGTAACGTTTTATTACCCATCTATAGGGTAGGACAAACTTCTAATTACTGAATATCTGCTGTTCTTATTGTCCCATAAATTGCCCTTCTTTTCTCTGAAGCCTCAGGTATCTTACCTCATTCCCTAGTTCAGAATGTCATATACACCTCATTTTACCTTTCTGTCTTTGAACCTCTCATGTATGTGGGGTCTCTGACTTTCTTATGTGTGTGGGATTTCCGTATGGACATGTGCAATTAAATTTGGTTATTTTTCTCTTGTTAATTTGTCTCATGCCAATTTAATTATTAGATCAGCTGAAAGAAACTAGAAGGATAAAGGAAAATTTCTTCCTTCCCTGAGAATACTAATTTATAGATAAAGAGAGACAAGATGGTGAGGATGGGGAAGCAGAGATCAGGGAGTCTTAAATTCATGCTATTAAAATAATAGTTGAAATAATTGATGATATTGTTCTTAGGGAAGACTCAGAGGTATTGTGATTGCTGGCCTCAACTTTTGTGTCATGGAGATGAAAGAGCTTAGACTGTACAAATGGGGGTAAAGCATTAATCTAATTAATATCTACATTCCCCCCTACAATTTGAGATAAATTTTTCACCCTTATTAAGGTCAGAGATTTCTTTTATAAATGTAGTAGCCTAAATCTTAAAAAAATAGCAAAATTGTTTTGGGCAGGTTTCTAAAAGATATCAGAGAGTAGAGAGTCAACAAGTCTCTACCTTGCTCACATACATCTTTTTTTCCTAACGTTGACATTTAGGGGAACTGCAAGCCTCTTCTCATAAGAGATGGGAAATAATTTAAAACAAAATTGAAGGAAAAATTTGGAAATAAAAGTCTAAATATGCTGAGTATTTACTCAGAGGAGTGTTTGCGTGGACTTATGTGTGTTTAAATCTAAGTTGAGGTTTTTCATTTTTTTTTCCTTTCTACATGACCAGAACTGTCCCATGCTTAGAAGGAAAGTTAAGATCATGGTGGATTGCAAGTGAAGAAAGACACGGCACGAGCTAAGAGAGGAAGGAAAAAAGGAGGATGGCAAACACATGTACTATCGTTTTCCTACCAAATGAGGTCACCAGAAAAGGATTCAGGATAGAATCTCTAACTAATGCTAATAATGATAATGATAATAATAGTAAACAGTAATATTGTACTATGTGCAAAGCCAGGCTAAGTGATTTTGGTACATTGACAAATCTAATGTAAAATAACCTTATAAAGTATGTATATATTATCATCAGTATTTCACAGATGAGGAAACTGCAATCCAGAGACTAAATAACTTTACTAAGTTCACCTAGTTAACAGTATAACCAAGGAAGTCTTTTATAAATATTTGTCTATAGTCTACATATGGCTGTAGTCTAGCACTGATTCTTGGAAATAAATGGTGTATGTTTCTTGAAGATTTCTCTGTGCATAAACTCCAAAGAGAACAGGCCAAGCTGCATGTGTCTGTTGGAGATGCCAATGATGGCTATTTCATTTTAGAAGAAATAATTACATGCATTTAGGAAGACAATCTCATTATTGTAAAATATTCAGAATAAGAGACATGTGGGTTGAGTCCCAGACATAATCTTATTACTTTGCTAGATCAACTGACACAAGTTAATCAAAGCTTTTGTTCTTCTGTATCTGCATCTCCAAAATGAAGATACATTGCATAAGAATTTCAGAGAATTGAAATATACAATACTAGTGGAATTTTCTGGCAATTAATGTTTATTAAATGAATCGTTAAGTGATTTCTAAATTGATAAACACCAAGAAGAAAAATTAGTCCAGAGAAAGCAGAAAGTTGCCTGTATAGGGAGAGAGGTTGCTAAATCACACATTTACAGAGGAAGCAATAACTGTGGGAAAAGTCCATTTTAAGTGAAGAGAAGAGTAGCAAAGAAGAGTTTAGTGGGTAGGCAGGTGTTATCTGACGAATTACCAGGAGTTGTCAGCAGTGTAGGTGGAGGCTTCTGTGATTAATGGCTCAGTTTCAGGTGCTCAGGGTAGAACAACCGAAAATAAAGTTTTAATCCCCAGACTCATTCTTAAGGATTTCAAGTCGCCTTCGGCAATGACAGTGACCTGTAGCTTGCTGGGGTTTTTGTTTATCTCCTAGAAGCCTCATAAATCACTAA